CTCTGGAGGTTTTGAGTCCAGCCCCCCTGCTCAGAGAAAGGTCAAGTGGGGCAGGCTGCTCAGGGCCACGTCCAGTTGGGTTTGAATATTTCCAAGGATGGAGACTCCAAAACCTCTCTGGGCAACCCCTTCCAATGGCTGACCACATTCACAATAAAAAAGGTTTCTCTTACATTTCAAAATCACTGTTTTCTGTTTTTCTGTGTCCTTTAGCACGTGATGCAGAGCCAGAGATAACAACAAAGTGACCAACGCTGCTCCATGAGAAGAGCTGTACCCAGATCATCCCAAAGGATTTGAACACAGGAGCCAAGTGATGTCTGACATCACCGAGTTTGTGCTTCAGCCACTACTGTTTTGAAGTTGAGATATCTCGGGCTGACATTTACCGTGGCATCACGTACAGAAGCATTGATCAGGCAGGTTCAGAAAGCAACAGCTGCACTGTGGGGAAAACTTATCCTGGAGCATCCTGCAGAATGGGAAAGGGTTTTCTGCATGGCACAGTGATGCGGAGATGCCCCTCACAATGGACGTGTTTGGTAGGATAGGAGTCTACTTGAACTACCCCAGCAGGACCTTGTCCTTTTACGGGGTCATCTATGATGATGTGACCTCGATGCATCAGGTCGAGTATGATTTTGTCAAGTCCCTCTACCCCGACTTTTGGCTTTTACAGGAAGAAAACTGTCAAGCTAATGTGGCTGCAGGAAGATACGGAGAAGATCCCGGCCTCCTTGCCTTCCTTTGGGGAGCTGCTCCCTTGAAAACATCTGAGTCAGAAGGACTGTCCAGTTCCCAGGTTATGGTGTGACACCAATGCTTTCGTTGCAGGTATCTGGGTGAAGAAGGGAGAGGTGTTTCAATAAAGACTCTTGTAACCAAATACGGTTCTAAGCATCCCATGTTTTAGAGATGGACAAGACTTGAGAGTTCATGCAGCTGCTTGTCTAGGGATCAGTGCAGATTGTTCCCAGAAGTACATCTATTAATATTCTATTTAGTAGGAGTTGAAGTCTTTTTTAAATTATTTTTCCCCCCAAGGATGGTGCTGTGTCACTGCCCTGACATGTTGCTCTTACCAAGCCAGTGGAAGCGAGCAGACAGAAGCCAGGCAGACCCGGGTTGTGTCACCATTTTCCTGCTGTGCCTGGACAAAGGAGCCCCCCAGCTCAGATCTCGGGGCCTTCAGGATCAGGGTGGCACTGGGGCACTGAGA